CCTACCTACCTACCTGCCTACTTACATACAAGCAAAATATACATGTGTGTATATACATATACATGTGATGGATGTTCCTGTATATGAGGACTTTGGTGACATACATACATACATACATACANNACATACATACATGCACACATACATATGTATATATATATACATCTATACGCAAGTCCACTCAAGCAGTGACCGATGCCTAACATTGAGAAGCCGCAGCTGGACAATCCAAATTTCAGGAACCCGGTCAGACCCCGTAAGCCCGAAGCCCTTATAATACTATATTCTATTCATTTTCTCATTCATATTCTATCTATCCTATCCGACTCGATTCGGTTCAATCATATTCTATCCTGTTCTATGCTATTCAAATTCTATTCCCTATCATTTTCTATGTTAGTCTATCCTCTTCCATCCTATGATACTCTACTCTGCTATATTGTCGGCGGAAGTCCTGCTTCTCCTGATCCTTTGACTTCCTTGGGGCCGAGAAGGTGAGACGGAGCGGAAAGCGGCACCTCGGCCGGCTTTGGCGCTTTGCAAGCGCTGAAGCTCGGGGTTTAGTGGTTTAGGGTTTAGGGGTTTGGGTTTAGGGTGGGTTTAGGGGTTTAGGGGTTTAGGGGTTTAGGGTAGAGTGCATCGGGATCCGTCTCGGAAGTGTTGGGATTCAGGCGTTTTAGGGTTTAGGGTTTAGGGTTTAGGGTTTGGTTATGAAGGAAATGCCAAGTAGTAGGATCTTGTTCACTTGCATCCCCACACACGGCAGCCCCTAAGCCTGTCTTCGAAAACCCTCATGTTTAGGGTGATTACAGTAGGCATCTTCAGAGAAAAGGGATGTTGGTTTGTCAAGGCTCTGCATTACTATGCTCTAGGGTACCTTGGACAATACGTAGTCAGAAAACAGGGTTATAGGGTGTGGAGTTTTATGGGCTTCAGGGTTTAGGGCTATTAGGGTTTTAGAGTTTAGTGTACGGTCTATAAGAGGATTCTAGAGCTAGTGGGACCTCCTGCGCTGCAGTTGAGGGGTGACACACGGAAACCCAAACTGCAGACTCCCTGAGCTTCCGGATCAGTTCATAAGCCGCAAAAGCATGTCATGGTAGAGCTGAAAGGAAATGACAGCCTGCTGTGAGAAGTGAGAAGTGCCAGACAAAAGCGAACAAAGGAACGATGAGTAAACAGCACTTCTGTCGTTGTCTTTGCTTTATGTAACTTACCCAGTCTGATTGCGAAGCCCCAAGCCCCAAAACCCAAACTACCAGCCGACGATACCCCAAAAACCCTAAACCCTAAACCCTGAACCCTAAACCCCAAAACTGCTCCCAGGCCTGCTGATCCACTCCTGCACCTCCGCCTCCTTCCGCACCTAGCGCGGCTAGGTTTCAGGTTTGGGGTTTTGGGGTTCAGGGTTTAATGGAGCAACTGACTGTACCTGAGGGAAAATCCCCAGCCCTGCTGTTTGCCCGAAAAGCCCAGGGTGTCAAACACTAAGCCCTTGTAAAGGGGTTTAGGGTTTAGGGTTTAACAAGCCTTCCCTATAAGCCCTAAACTCAAACAACAAGTTCCTAAACCCTAAACCCTAAGACCCTTGACAACACATGTGGCGCAGAAACGTCTGAGCTCGACTGCAGTGGCTGCAGAGGCGATCGATGACCACTTCACGAAAGCCCTGACCCTAGGGGGACCCTTACAGGAAACTTTAAAGGACTCCATAAACAGCATTAGGCACCCCGAAAGAGCCCTTAAAGGAATCCTTGAAGAGCCCTTTAACCCTTAGTGCCCAAAGTCAAAGAGTAGCTGAGGTGCCACAACCCATTCAGACTGTGGACTTTGGAACCAAAACCCTCCGATTCTCGTACTTGGACCCTCTACTGCTATGAACTACAGGGCTTTTGGTGCGCTCTATATTCGAGCTTTGGTTGACAAGGTAAGCTTTAGGGATTAGGGTGTAGGATTGGGGGGTTCAGGGCGCAATCGACTTTGAGATTTAGGGCTGGCCCATGCCAACCCGAAATGCAAAGCCAGATTTGTCTACTGTTGTAGAAGTAAGTCTGTAAGTAAAGAATGAAGGAACGCTGAAATCGTGCAAACCCGCAATCTTCCCTCCCTATGGCCCCTATACTCAAGTTAAAAAGAACCTGCACAGTTGAGACTGTGGCATCCCATGCCCATCATGGTCAATGTTCATAAAGCCAAGGCGCTACAAGCCCAAACACCAAGCTGCAACCCCTTTTTCCTGAATTCTCTCTGCCTCTGCACAGGCCTTGCAAACCTTTCCGCCTCTGCCCTAAAACTGGAAGACCTTGGACGTGTTGTTCCCAAACATAAACCCTACACCCTAAACCCTAAACCCCACATCCCTACTAGGCCGCATGCAGAACCCTACTAGAACCCTTATCCCTTATCGATCCCTTACAGAACCCTACTAGAACCCTTATAGATCCCTTGTATGAGCCCATACCCCGAGCCTTGAGTCGACGGCCGTTGATGGTCGTCAGCTTCCAGCCCACCAGCGCCTGCCCCGAGGACTTAGCTTCGGTGAAGGTTTTAAGGTTCTATAAGAGGCCTGGGAGGAATCTCTATAGAGTTGTATAAGGGTTCTATAGGGGTTTAGGGTTTGTATAAGGGTCCTATAAGGGTTTAGTGTTTAGGGTTGAGAGATATCTAAAGGGGTTAGAACAAGGGTTCTATAAGGGTTTAGTGTCTAGGATTGAGAATTTTAGGTCTCCAGGGTTTCGGATTGAGGGTTCAAGGCCTAGGCCACGCACCTTGGGTTGTAGCAGCTATTGTAGCATGGCTTCAAGGCTGTATGGTGCACCCCTCTGTCGCAAATGAAGGCCACAAGCTATGCCTTACGACCTGAACATGTAGCCCAAAACTGACATGCAACGACCGTAACAGGTGGATTTTTCTATTCATAGCATGCTGAAGGGGTTCATCTGCAAACTCTCGCGGACTGGAGGACTCCAACATGGCTTGCCCGCACGAGCCCAACTACTTGGAGGTTCATGGGTAGTTATAAGTGGGGATATAAGTAGGGTAACTATACTTATAACCCATATTAGGGGACTTATAACCCTACTTATAACTACCCATGAACCTCCAAGTACCTGAAATAACCTCAGACTCAAACCTTTAGTCCCAATGCCGAAACCCTTAAACCCTGACCCCTCTAACCCGAAGGCCTCAAGGCCTACTGTAAGGCCAAAACCCTCCAGCCCTGAACCAAAAAGCCGTGAACCGAAACCCACCAAAACACCAAAGTCGAACGAACTGCAGATAACTATTAAGAGTCCCAGCTCCACGTCCCGGCCTTGCCACGAACCTCGGCAACCCAGCTCTGCAGTTGCCAACGTTTGCTTTTCTGTTTTAATTGGGGTCTCAATTGATTATTTCAGAGAGGTTTGAGCTCTGACGTTCCGCTTAACAGGTCTATGGCAGATACTGATTTTCATTGTTCAGACACATCAAACCGACTAGTGCAAGCTTCGCTTCCGTCTACATATAAATGTAAATCTATATACTAGATACACATACATCCATCCATCCATCCATCCATCCATCCATACATACATACATACATACATACATACATACATACATACATACTTACATATACATACACACATGCTTACATATACATACACACATGCCTACATAC